ATATAACCAAGTGAATCATGTATCATGGTCAATGACTCACATAGTAAACATATCCATTCTAATATTTCATTGTTGCACAAGATCAAACAATCCATAGTCTTTATTATCAAAGAGAACAAAAAGGAGCCTGTGGGAATAGGATTGCAAACAAAGTAAACATAAAGAGTGATCATCATTTCAGAATAAGAGATATTACATTGTTCGAATGATCTCTTCACAGTGTCATAAGAGGCATGCCAATCTAGAGTGCCAGCAAGAAGATCTGGTCTATTATTTAGAAAAACTAAAAAGGAAGATAGGTTCTCTGCAATGAGATGATCGTGCTGAGAAGGTAGGTTGTTTTTTCAGGTTTCAAGGTGAAATTTGTAGAGTCCATTGCGAAGCTTTCCGTTGAGGAGGATTTCCTTAGCTTCCTGATCTTTTACATTGAAAAAATTTGGGTGAAACTCAAAGAACACATTATTATCCTTGCAAAATTGTAACACACTTAAGAGGTTCTTGTCATGAACCCGAAATCATCCGCGCTAAAATTGGCTAATTTTGAGGATAAAGCACGAATCTTTATTGAGAGTAAGGCATCTGGGGTGAAAAAGGGGAAGTCTTTGAATATTCTGGGCAACGATTTGACTGGTGAAGGGGGATTAGGGTTCGCAGCTATTGAAGATGATGTTACTGCGATGATGGTTCACGATGATTTTGAGAAGAAGGTAACAAGTGAAGAAGAGGAAGAATGGGCCACACCTCAAATTGTTGGGCCGGTTCTCAAGACAAGCTATTAGCATTTGTTTTATTTTTATTTTGGCCCACCGTCTATGTTAAATTTGGGTCATATGCTAAGAGTCTGTATGCTGGGCTTATCACTTGCAAAAAGCCCATTTATTGTTATTAAGCTTCTAGAAATAGTTTGTTATTTTGGGGACCCACGTGAGAGTATGTAAAGGGAAAATTGTCAGAGGATCAACTAAGAATTGAGCACTATTCACATGTCTCTCTCTCTCTTCTTATTTCTCTCTATCTCTCTCTAAATCTTCTCCCTCCCTTCTCTTCCGATTAATTACAGAATTTTACAGAAAAATTACCAGAAAATTCCCAAAAATATAATTATACAAGTCGAGCCTAACAGTTCTTAGCGATTTTGGGAACATAAAGTTCTTTATGGTAAAATTGATAGATGGTTGATTAGGTGGTCTAACGTAAGAGTTGCCAAAATGAGAAAATTTTCAAACCTTTTCATTACCCATCTGGACCTTCTCACTTCCTTGATAATCAGCTGTAATGTTCAAGTTGTTCATGTCAAAGACGAAGTGATTTGTAGCATTAGAGTCTAGGTTCCAATATGTGTCTAGTCATGTTTCTGAGCTTTCAAAATTCATCATATTTGCTAAGGGATTCATAACTTGCGGTTGTGAACTCCCTTGAGGTGAAGAGTTGAATTTCTTAGGCGCAAAATTCATATCACTTCTGTAGTAACATCTTTCGACTGTACGGTTGTTGTAGTGACAGATCCCGCATCTTGCTTTTCCATTGTTGAAAGACCTTCCTCTACCTCTGAAATTTTCTTGTCTTTATCTTCTTCTAGCTTTTAGTCCCTGCTTAAAGCCTCTTCCTCTTTTCATCCTTTGAAGGTCTCCACTCTATAAGTTTCCATTTTGCTCTGTTGTTGTTAGGTTGACTGGAAAACCCAATTCTTAATTATGCATGGTATATCTTTTTGTGGCTTCAAGCATGTTTTCAAAACTTAAGATGATACAGTGAACCTCCCTCAGTGTACATGGATATGATACGATCTTGAGACAAGGGAAACCATCACAACATTATATCCAAATCCAAGGACAGAGATGATGTGGGCTATCTGATCTGTTTCATCTATCCTTTGTCCGGCTACGGCTAAGAGGTCACAACATTGTTTGACTTTACTTAAACAATCCCTCATTCACAAGCTTCCTTTTCTTGAAGGTCTGAAGTTGCACTTTATATAGCATTATCTTGGCCTCGCAAAGGTTAAATTCGGGGATTCCCAAATTTTCTTTTGATGAGACCCACAGTAGAGATTAAGACACTTTCAGAATAGATCATATTTTTTTCTCATGTTGTTCTGCATTGATGAGGTTATGAACGAGAATGGTAGTTGCAAAAATTAGTCATTCTTACTACTAATGAAGCAGTATACATATGAATATATATGTCGTGGCTAATGTTGGTCTTTCTCTCTTGCATGGCCGGTCCATGTCTGCATGAGGATTTGTTGTGGCTTGGCTTCTTTTTCTTTTGCTAACATGGAGAGTGCGCGCAGAATTGTGCTTGGACTTTTAGCGCGATGGCATTTATTACGAACGAAATCGATCCATATTGAGTTCATAATCAATACGTGAAACAAATTACACGTTACAAAATGTGTTGTTAAGTTAATTTGTAATCATATTTTTCAACTCATGTCATTTACTGATACTAAAAAACTACTACCTTCTCAATTTAAAACTAACTCGAACATGCACAGTACATAAAGTTTATGTTGGCGGGAGTCCTTGACGTTTCCCATGGAAGAAAGCAAATCACTTTTATTTTCGTTTTAAGAAAGAAATAATTACTAATATGATATGTGCATTGGACTTAAATGTTTAATCCAATAAAATAAAAGATGCAATGTTCCTTATTGTTCATCACTTGAAAAAAATAAAAATAAAAAATACAATCACTAGACAATTGGCAAGAAAATTTGGTATCCAAATAAAAGAAAACCAAAGAACGAAAAGATTCGATATACTCTGTCACGTTTTTTTTTTTCATGGATTTCTAAAAAAAAGCAGCAATAATTGTAATTAAAATAGATTTCCCACATCATCAGATTGACTCGAAAATAGATTTCCAATTTTTACAAAAAAGGGAAAAAAAAGATCCTAAAAAATCTCCTGACATATATAATTTCTGACAGATTTTGGGCTTTATTTATCAAAGTTTTAAATTATATACATAAAAAAAACTCTTAAACCATAAATAATTTTGATATTTTTTGTTAATTATAAATTTTCGTATCCAATATATATATATATATCAAATTAATTATCTTTTAACGACTCTCTATTTGACATCCTATATAAAATAAATAATAGTTATGTTCACCGGTATAAATTAAAATAATTTAACAATATTAAAAATTATTATTTATCATGTAATTATATGATTTTAAAGTAAACATAAAAAACTATTTCTTTATTTAAACTTTTGGAATGTTTCTACTAGTTTTAGTTAAAATAACATCTCATTATATAGAATTTAATTTTTCAAGTCAATTCACTCCAACTTTTAAATCCATCAACAGATATATTTTACAGATTTAATATGTAAATTATCACACAAAATAACAAATTATAATTACCATAAAAATAAAAAGTATTGGATTTATCTAATTTTTCCACCGACCATATGGCCTCTCATGACATGAAAAGAGATGGCATCTCATTATGCAAATTAAGTTGAAAAAATCTGTACAAAAAAATAAATAAAAAAAAATATTGCTATATATACCCCTCATCACACGTCCTTTAACAATGTGCCCCTCTCACTTTTCTTTTCATTAAACATAAAAATAAATAAATAAAATTGGAGGCCTCATAAAAAAAAATTTGTAGTCTTGATGAGAGCAAATTGAAAGGTACACACAATTCTATTATTTATTAATAGAATTAAACTTTTCATTTGAGGTTTTTTTTTAATTGTGATTTAAAAAGCTAAAATAATTAAGTTTCGTTTTTTAAGACACCCAATATATTTAAATAAAAAAAAAAAGAAAAATCAGAATATAAATAAATAAATATATATATATATATATATATTTGCAAAAAAATAAAATAGAATAAAATAAAATCATTGACACGCAACAAACACATAATACAGAGTTTTTAGCCTTTTTTCTTGCTATTTATTAGTAGAACTGGTCTATGACACTCTTGTTTTTCTGCAAATATTTGTTGTATTGTAGTTGATTTTTTCTTCACTCTCATATAGTATTTTGTAAGCGTATATATGATTAAATTTTTATTTCTCTTTTTTTTCTTAAATTGTTGATATAATTTCCTTTTTTTTCGTTTCATTAGAATATTGGAGACGAAGACGAGAGGAGCAAGAGCAATTTTTTTTATGTCGGTTCGTTTGAAGCTCGGTTTGTCGTCGTCATCATTATCATTATCGTCGTCGTCGAAATCATCGTTTTCTTGCTCGTTTTCTGGTCGCTGCATGCAATTTTCGTTCTGCATCACATCTGTTTCGATGCGTTTGAGGCCCAAACGGTACAATCTTTTTATTTATTTTTTGAAATTTCCGTGTTTGATTTCGACCTACCCGTTTTTGTTTACGGTTGGATCGACACACATCCACGTTGGTATGTGTATGTTTGTGTTGATCCAACGGTAAAAAAGTGCACTACACCAAATTTTCTTTAAGTGCTTACGTTCATGGGAAGATGCTACAGTCCCGTTACGGAACATTCTGTCGGGGTTTGTAACCATTAGATCAACTATATCTGACGATAACATGATGATCTGATGGTTACAAATCCCGACAGAATGGCTCCATGTGGACTTTTTATGGTTTGTTTTTTAATAATGGTATCTGTTTATTTTTTTTGGATTGGATTTATGAAGATTTATTAAATTCGATTTTTTTTTTTTTTTTTTTTCATTTTTTTTTTCTTTTTTTTCATTTTATGGGCATTGCAGGACTTGTTGCGGAGTAAAGTGTTTTGGGGTTTATAATCACATAAATCGATTAATTAGCCTCTTCTTGTTCTTGAGAAGTACACTGTCTCAAGAGCTAATATAATCGATTAGGGGAAAAAAAAAAAAAACCCTTGATTTTCTTGAACAAAGAACAAACAAATCACTCTTTGCCTTCAATGATTTTTAACTGATTTGTTTTGGGAAGAGAAAGAGATATAGAGAATTTCGAGGGTTCTTTTCAACCGAGAAAAAAAAGATCGATTTCGATTGTCGAACCAACAAACGATGACCCGAAAGATTCGGGCCAACACCGGGCCCGCCTCCACCCAACCTACAAGAAAGATCCGTATAATCTTCAACGACCCATACGCCACCGACTCGTCTGACGACGAAAACGAGAAAAAGGTCAAACGGGTGGTCCACGAGATCTCCTTCCCGAAAACGGAGAACCCTCCTAAGCGACCCACGAGAAATGCCGACAAAAAAATCGACGTTATGCCCTCATGCAAGCTCCGTGGGGTCCGCATGCGCAAGTGGGGCAAGTTTGCGGCCGAGATCCGCGATCCGATCCAGCACAAGAGAATCTGGCTCGGCACGTACGACACGGCCGAGGAGGCCTCCCGGGCCTATGAGCTCAAGCGGGTCGAGTTTGAGGCCCTGACCCGCTCGGCCACGGTCGCCATGCGCAATGAGAAAACGAAGCAAAAGGAAACCCTCCACGTGTCGGAGGACTCGGGTGGGAGCAATGTGTCGGTTGTTACCCGACCCTCGACTTCGTCCGTTTTGGAATCGATTTCCATGACTTTGACTTTGGGCGATAATCACGTCGAATTCGAAAACGGAACGAACGATAATAAGAATAATGTTATCAAAAATAATAATGATGATGATGATAATAATAATGCGATCGATGTATTTGAGAATGAGGAGGGCAAATTGGTCATTGGGCAGAAGCCGGAGAATTGGGGGGTGATTGACGACGATTTGGCGGAGATGGCGTGGATGGGAGGAAGAATGGACTCGTTTGTCGGGCTCGATGCTCTGTTGCCGGTAGATGATTTTGAGACGGTTGTGCAAAAGCCAGACGAGATCAACATTGCGGACCTCCCGATAAGTGACGTCGAGTGGGTGGGCTACTCGAGCGGCTTGCCGAATTACGACTCGTTTTTCGACTTTGAGTCATGGGAGTGACGGCCCTTCGTTCGATGGAGGGTTTCGACTGCATGGATTGGAATGATGTGATAATAGTAATAAAGAAATAGTTATATAGTTATTGAGCTATTTATGTTTTTCTTTGGGATTTTGTACCTTAGCAGTTTGAGCGCCGTTAGGGTTTCCCGGAGGTATTTGAGCCGTCCTAAGTGTATGCGAGTCTTGAATATTTTCAAGGATCTTATATATATTATTATGATTTCAATATATCGTCGAAAATTTTTTCTTGAGGGCCTTCTATGTTACCCATTTTATTAATTATAGATGCTACTAATTATTCTACTAAATTATAACTAAACAAAGAAATTAACTATAAAATTTAGAACTATATGCCAACTTCTATAGACTAAGGTAAGGTACTGCAATAAACTATTTAACATTGGAGTTCGTATTCGACTAAGCGAAGGTAATGCAATAAGATAGCCAACGATGAAGTTTAGATTCGACTAAGCTAAGGTACTGCGGTAACCTAGCTAATGTTGATGTTTAGATTCGAAGTTCTGATTCGACTAAGCAAAGATACTGTAATAAGATAGCTAACTTGTATTTATTATGCTACTACAATAAACTAGCCAACACTGAAGTTTAGATTCGCCTAAGCTAAGGTACCGCAATAAGCTAAAGTTTAGATTCAAAGTTCATATTCGACTAAGCGAAGGTACTGCAATAAGATAACTAACTTATAATCACTATGATACTGCAATAAGCTAGCCAATACTGAACTTTAGATTCCACTAAGCTAAGGCACTGCAATAATGTAGCTACCATTAAAAGTTTAGCTTCGATTAAGCGAAGATACTGCAATAAGCTAGCTAACTGATAATTATATTTGTTTCGACTGTAATATTGATAAAGATACAAGGAATGCGAGTGCAGATTTGGTGTATAGCTAACTAAACAATCGTTATCGACATAATCAGATGCGACTAAATCCTCCAAAAGAGGGAATTAACTATGCTTTTTTTTTTTTCTTTTTCTTTCTTTCTAAAGGTAGTTTAGTTCTTTATAAGATGAGCAAGAAAATAGAGTATGATTGCAATATTTAATAAAGTTTGGAGAAACTTGAAAACACAATCAATAAAAGTGCTGCTCAATTAAATGATGCAGTGGAAGCAAAGAGAATTTTTGGAGAAGAAAGGTGAAAGTTTTGTTATTCTCATTAACAGTCAAAAGCATGTTCATGTATCTAAGCACGCGCCCATGCAGTACAATGAAAAACGGCATCGTTTCATATATACAAAACCGTGTCGTGTCGACTAATAAAACTGCTGTTCAATTAACAAAAAGCGCAAGTAAAAACTGAGAAAAGAAGCACGACTTTGTGCATGAAAAAAAAAAAAAAAAAAAAATGCAACAAGGCAAACATCATGATCAATTCCAACACTCTTCCCTCAAGTTTGGCATGGGAAAACTTGAATCACACCCATCTTGGACAATAAGACTCGAAGATGAGGCCCAACAAAATCTTCGTGAACAAATCAGCTAACTGAAGTCGAGTAGAAACATATGTAGTCAATATAAACCCATCTTTGAACTTATCTCTGACCAAATGGCAGTTAATTTCTAAGTGTTACGTGCGCTCATGAAACACTGGATTGGTCGTTATATGAATAGTTGCATTGCTTTCACAATAGAGAGGAATAGACAAGGTAAGAGTGAGAAGAAAATCTCGGGAAAGATGGGAAAGCCAAAGCAGTTTAGGCATTGTAAAACCAAGTGCACGGTATTCGGCCTGAGCCGAAGATTTAGAAACAGTTGGTTGTTTCTTGCTCTTCCATGAAATGAGAGAGCCGCCTAAAACCAATTTTTTTTTTTTTGTTTTCTTTAGAAGAATAGTTAGATATCTTTTTGTATTATCATTCCTGTAATCTATATCTATATATATTGAAAGATGTTGATGGAACAATCTAAAATAGAAACTTTAATTTTGTAATTAAATTGATTGACTTACTATTAAAGGAAATATAATAAAGATTACTTTAATATTTATAAAAAAAAATGAAATCAAATCATACCTACCCGTTGTAAATCGTGCAATTCAATTACTAACACAACTTTGTATATACTAAAGTGATATCAATTTTCAAATTAATTAATTTTATAATAATTATCGCAATAAAAATCCTATTATTCATATTAATTACGAATCACTACACTTTCTTATTTTTTTTAATAACCAACCATAGATCATGTCTTCAAGAAAATTTGTTAAATATGTTTTGTGTTTAGAAAATGTTATTTAAATATGGACGATGAAATTGCAAATATATTTACAAAATAAAAATAAAAAATCAGTTATAAAAGTTTGTTGTGATACTCATCATCATGTTACAATTGATTCTTATTTATCAACATTAATAATAAATTACAATAATTTTTATTCATTCGGTAACCAACCATATACCAAAATAATTTTTATCATATATACAAAAAAATCATTTAATCAAGAAGATAAGTTTAGAATCCTTTGATTTATCAATAACTCAATCAATTCAGTTTTTCAAAAATTGTAAACGCAATTTTGCACTATGAAAAAAAAAATTATTATTTATCATTAGTAATAAGTCCATATTCATCCTTAATAACAAACATGTGTTCTCATATTGTGTTAGGCATCTAGCCATATGTAGACCGAAATATGTGTGAAAACTTTATAAATTATAAGTATAAAATAAATTTAGAAATCAATTGCAAAAATATTATTGATATAGCTACCACAATGTAGCAATAGAATTGTTATCTCAACATTAATGACAAATCTCTCCGATATTCTATTCATTTGGTAACGAGTCATATAGCAAAAAAACATCTATTCAAGGATTTTAGAAATAATCCAATCATATTTAGACCCAAATATGCATGAGAACATTACAAATTATAAGTACAAAATAAATTTAAAAATCAATTGCAAAAATATTATTGATATAAATACCACAATACTGCAATAGAATTGATATCTCAATCTTAATAACAAATCCCTCTAATTATATATTCATTTGGCAATGAGCCATATACCAACAAATCATGTATTCAAGGATTTCAAAAATATCTTTATAAATAATTTCACAAGTTTTTTTTTTTTAAAAAATCATATTGTGATTCAGAATATCATAACAAAACTCATATAAATTAATACATTAGAAAGGAAATTTAAAATATTTATAACATACGTTATTATAATTATAAAAATAAAATTAAAACTTAATAAAATTTAAGTTCAAAATAATCTATATTACATTCAATTAAGGTATTAGTAAAATAACTTGTGTAAAAATTAAAATAGTATTATAATAAGGTATGAGTAAAAAAATATAGAGAGAGATAAATATTACGTGAGCTTTATTTATATGTTTTTATATGTTAAATTTCCATTATCCTTAATTATAAATAGGAACTCTGAAATGACAAATGTTTTATAACGAGAAAAATAAACATATAAATCATATATTATATTATTATTTAATAAATTAAAATAAATAATGAGAACATTCAAAACTATTTTTATAATAATCAATATTCCTTTATTGTATTAATACATGAAATTTATAATTATTGTCTCGTGCATAACACTGTCTACCTAATATATGAACATTGTATGGTACTAATTTCTTCTCAATTTGAAGTGGAAAGAATTAATGGATTTCTTTTAAGCAATACTAATTCACAATTCAGTCCAACAGATATGGCATGATAATTTCATAGACAAACTAATTACATCATAATCACATGAAATCTTTGACAAAAAAATATTTTATTATTATACAATTATCAATATCTTGAATCATGATCATGTATTACATCATAATCTTATTATTTGATGATTCAACCTAGCATATTATTTTATTTTGCCAAAATAATATCGTGTTATTCAAATATCTTAAATATTTGAAAATTTCTTAGAAAGTGCTTCATGTGCTGAATGACTTTACAAATTAATGAAATCCTATGAATCATTGGATATAATGTGGGTCAATTATACCAATTTTTAAATCGCTAATATTCATATTTTGTATTGAAAATTGAGAAATAATTAGAAAAAAACATCATTCGATTTTTATCCTACGAGCAATATTGTAGTCTTCTATTATTGTGGACAATATAGTTAGTTGGACCTAATATAATTAAAAATTAAATTTAATTAAAGTGACTATTTATTTTATAGATTATTAACTACATAATATTAAAAAGCTCAATTTGTGAGTTTGACTTGGACTATAATGAATATTAATAGGATTAGGATTTTAAATAGCATCCTATAAATACTATTCCTTTATATTTTTTTTTTAAATGTCATTCTAGTTTTATCAACTATTAACTAAATAAATGTCGTTTTGGATCTTTTGTACATATTTTTCCATTATTACCCTTATTTAGCTAATAATATATTACGTCTTTTCATAGTCACTCTTAATTTTTTCTCAAAATATTCATCTCTATCTCATTAAATAAAGTTATTATTGACAAAAAAAATATTTTTAATTAATGTACAACTTCTCAAAACGATATATATTAAAAATAAGAGGTAGTACTACATATGTCCATCTCTCTCATCTCATCTCATAGGTAAATAAAGTTTCCATTATTGGAGGAAATCGAAAGGAAAGAATCGAATTTTTGTAAGTTATACGTGCAATTTAAGAAAGTCTATATTATACGAATTAATAGAATTCCGTTTTAATGCTTACTAATACAGAGCCCGTGCGATGCACGGGGTGCACAATTTTAAGGTCATTTATCCAACCTACAATTATATAAATGAATAAAGAAAAGTGTACGGGATATATATAGTACGTGAGCTGTGCGGGGCACGAGATATATTTATCTGGGAAATATTATATTATAAAATGCAATATTCAATAAAAGCTTTACAATACGCAGGAAAATTGTACAATAAAATAGTATTCGCCAAAGAAACAATACCTCCTATTAACTTGTATTAAGCCAAATCCTTCATTCATTGTTGTAGATGACACACTGATCTGTTTTTTTGTTTTTTCGCAGGTTGAAAGAGAGGAACACGTTGATTCAGTATTGGAAGATTTTTATTTTATAATTGGTTTATTGAATTATATGTAGAGATAATGTCAAGTAAAATT